TGTATGTTTATCATACATTTATAGGCATCTCTTTCTTTAGGTTATGAAAATTTTCTTCTTTGATGTTGAAGGTGTTTTCTTGGCCTTTGAACTGGGAATGGACTCATCAATTCCTATTGTTCTTAGGTTTGGTCCTTTCATATGTTCAAATTTCTTGGATGTTTTGTATTATGAGTTGTTTTAAATTTTGCATTTTCTGTGACTGATGTATTGATTTCTTCTATCATATCTTCTATACCCGAGATTCTCATTTCCATCTCTTATATTCTGTTGCTGAAGCTTGTGTCTAGAGTTCATTTGTTTGTTCCTAGGTTTTCTGTCCAGGATTGCCCCAATTAGTATTTTCTTTATTGATTCTATTTCCATTTTCAGATCTTGAACAGTTTTATTTATTCATATAGGCGGGGCTTTCCCTATATATACAAGAGCTGCATATTAAACTTTGAGCCTTGATTAGAGAACTTTCTTGGCTCCATTTCCAGTCTTCCTTCCAGGTGAATCCAGTTTGTTCATGGCCACTGGCAGCTACAGAGTCAACTCACCTCAGCTTTCCCCTTTTCAGTAGACCAGATGGGACTAATATCCAAGCTGGGTAGTCTTGTGGCCCTGCATGCCTCCATGGAGAAGCAGGCTTATTCCTATTATTCTTAGGTTTGTTCTTCTCATATGTCCCAAATTTCCTGGATGTTTTGTTAGAAAGTTTTTATACTTAGCATTTTCCTGGATGGATGTATCAATTTCATCTGTCATTTCTTCAGTGCCTGAGATTCTCTCTTCTGTCTCTTTCATTCTGTAGATAATGCTGGTGTATGTGAGTTCCCATTCCCTATGCTAGGATTTTCATTTTCACGGTAGCCACAGGTTGTGTTTTCTTTATTGTTTCTATTTCCATTCTGGAACAGTTGTATTCATCTCTTTCATCTTTTTCATTGTACTTTCCTGCATTTTTTAAAGGGAATCCCTCATATCCACCTTACGGGTATCTATCATCTTCATATGAGTATATTTAAGGTCATTTTTTGCAGTTCATGTGTGCTAGGGTTCTCAGGACTTACTGTAATAGGATAGCTTGATTCTGTTGGTTCCATATTGCCTTAGCTTTTATTGATTGTGTTCTTCTGCTGACCTTTAGCTATATGGTGGGATGTAGTTTTGATAGGCCTGGTGTTCCCTGATAGGAGCAGATCTCTGGGCCTCCAGGTAGAGTTAGTAGTTCCTGATGTCAACAGGCCTCTGGGATTACAGGTAGAGGTTGTTTTCCAGGGTGACAGCAGGCCTCCTGAGTCACAAGCAGAGCTAATAGTCCCTGGTGATTGCAAAACTCTAGGGCAGACAGTTTTGAAGACAGTAGGACAAACATGGAGGTCACAGGACAGACTTCATGGTGGCTAGGTTTGCTTGGGAACTCAGTGGAAAGGAACCTGATGCTTGAAGATCTCACATATTTGTCTTGACCATCCACAAGCTTATAGAAATATAGGCAGGTCATGCCCCAGAAAACAGTGTGCAGAGGTGACACTTAGTGTCCCATGGGTTTGCCCAGAGGTGATGTCAGGCAGAGAATTGAGGCAGAATTCTTACCTGGTGACCCTAGATGGCTGTAGGCCTCTGGATTATGGCTAAAGATCTGATCCAGAAGATGAAATGCAGAGGCAATGGGGCAGACATCAAGGAAGATGGGTTTGATGGGGGACACTAATTGCAGGGGTTTCAGGCTTGGTTATCTTAACAGCAAATACCCATTGGTAGCCATAATGAGATTTCTATTTTTATACTGTTAGCATATAGCACAAATATATTACCATAGTTAGAATTTCTAAAATTCAAAACAATTGCTTCTTACCTTATTGGTTATAACACCATTAGTTGCATAACTATGACAGGAATCTATGATTTAATAACTCCCTGAAGTCCTTCTTACCAGACAGAATACTTTATATACCAATTTTTTTTTTTTACTTTTTACCTGGTAAATTTATAAATCACATAAACAACAGAATAGTAAGATTAGTAACAATCTGATTTAATTTGTCTAAACAGCATAACAGATTTGAGGATACCATTATTTTTGAATTTCACTATTATTTCTGCTCTGACTGAGCCAGGATCAGCTACTCTATCAGGGATTACCTTCCTGGCAGGGTCCTTCTTGTATTTCTATAATATCCATTCACAGAAAATTTATACATGATTTGTCAAATGTATATTTCCATTTGTATAGTTGATACTTGACACTAAGGTGATATTTTCTCATGGTTATAAAAGTTCGAAAATGGCATCCCAGGAATACATGACACTCTTGTCACACACTATCAGGAACATGGCATACGAATACTTATTCTGATATTTTTCAATTTGTTTACCTGTGTAGTATGTGCCACAATTCTGCACATGTATAACCTGGGTTTCCTTTTTATTTACTAGTGTTGAGAACTATTCTCAGGAAATACTCAAGCCTAGAGATTTCAAGGGCACGTCTATACATTACTGGTAATTCTGTTCTTCTGATGGAGAGCCCTGCTTCTACTTATTTATTCAGCAGTATACTTACCTCAATGTGTGTGTGTGTGTGTGTGTGTGTGTGTGTGTGTGTGTGTGTGTGTATGTGTGTGGATAGTGGATTGGTCATGAACTCATAGTGTTATCATATTACTAATGTGTTGGGTCAAAAGTGAATTTCTTTGAATCAGAATATATAGAAGTTGGTTTGGATATATTTAAGTACAACAATCATGTTTAAAAATTTCACTGCTCATTCCATGTCACCATCAGCCATGTAGACTGATCCTCATGATGACTAGGAAACATGCCAGTGGATGCTTTGGGTTCATCATCAAGTAGAGTTGTTTAATTTACTGTAACATGTGTCTTAAACTCAGAGTTTTAAGCACGGTAGTCAATTTTGTCATCACAGCTTCATCATACACTATTGGTGTAAGTTTCTAGAGAAGTCTCAGGGTCCAACTAGCAGATATAAGGGAAAAGCCAATCAATAATGGCCAATAATAGCCAAATATCATGAAGGTAATTTATAAGTTGAGATTACCTCCCTCTGATTAGTCTAGTTTGTCTAAAGTTGACATAGAATCAGCAGGTCATCCAATTTACTTCCATAATTTAAAAAAATGAGTTATATTAGTCTATTTTCACAATTATCATGTACAAGGTTAGGCTGACAACACATAGGAGAAGGATCATAAGGATGTGAGGGTTAGAAGCACAATTTTATGAATGTGTTGTTATATAAGAGTTCAGAGTGCAGGCCTCCACAGAGAATATATCACTGAGAGACAGTGGAGTTGTGGGGTCAGCAAATGGAATCACAAAAATATAATTTCAATGAAATGCCACTTTCCTTGTCTACTGAAAAAGAACTGAGAGAACTGTCACATGGTGTTCCAAGTGAAATATGTGCTCCAAAATATTTTCAAATATTGAGACTCATGCTCCCATTACATGGATCGGGGATCCCTTTCCATACTTATTATACTAGCTTTATTTTTTTCTTTAATTAAATGGCTTTTATATCATTTGTTATAGGCAATATAGAATTTTGGATTTAATTTCTATCTTTTTGGATATTAGAGATGTTGGCTTTATGCAACCTATTCTGCCTACACATATTTGTCAAGATGAAGGAGCCTAATCAAAGGCTGGAGGGCAGAAAGATGTCCGCACATTAGGACATCCCTTCTCAGTTCTGTGTTATCTGACCCATGTGTTATCTTCTGAACCAAAATCTCAGACAAATGATGGAAATAAGTTGTTCTTGAGAAGATAAATAAGACTTATCTCCTTGAGAGACAGTGTCCTTACCCATACAAGTGAATAATGTTGACTCAAGTATAATATTTATTAATAAAAATAAGAAATGTATTCTTGAATTATTAACATTTGAATCTATTACATATACATACACCACACAAGAACTCTGTCTTTGACTACTTCCTAGCATTAGATTAGCAATTTTTCTAAAATATTTATTTAATTAATTTAACTAATTATTTATATATGTGTTTGTGACAGTACTGTACTGCTCATGGACACCACATTAATATTGTGTTTTCTGTATTTACAAGTGGTTGTGAGGTGCGCATTGTAGGTATCAGGAACTTAACCTGGACACCTCCTAGAACAATATTCTCTCTTAACCACTGAGTTGTTTCCACAGCACCTGAAGTAACAATGACAACATTTTATCTCATTTTTGCTGCAGCTCACTTCACAATGAACTGAATACCACATTAATCTGTATGAATCTAGAAGACACATTTTTCAATGACAATTGGGGACCATCTTATAAGAAGAATACAAAATCTCAACTGAGACTAAGTAAAATTAGGGAAGGATTATCATAGATTGAACAAGGTAGAATAATAAGATTAATGAGTCAGATGGAAAAATTATTTCAATTAAACACACACACACACACACACACATTGACAATGGTCACAGTTAATAACAATATATTATTCGTATATGAGTAGATCTCATTAGTTAGCATTCAGAATGAAAACTGTGTAATCATTAAATTGTGCACATGTGTTTGTAAACTTCCTGATAGTGAAGATGAATGCGATTTATCTCAGACATCAACTAAGTAAACCGTAGAAATGTTACTAAAACTGCAGCCATGAGAGAAACAATACGTTACCAAATCTACCTGGCTGTTTTCACCTGCACAGTGCTCCACTGAGTTTTCTTCATAAATGTCAGCTGAATAATTAGTTTTGATTATACACTTGTATATTATAGGGCTATATAAATTTCTTCCACAGTGTGAACAAACAAGAAGTTTAATAGAATATGACACTGAAGAGCAGGCTCTAAAAAGTCTTTGAGGCTGAAAGTAGAATTCATATCTCTAACATTAAAACTCATGCTCAGACAGCATAAGCCAAAACTTCATAAATTCTAGAAGTGATCCTCAGAAGTCCCCTTTGGTCCTCAGCGCCCCCTGCTGGTTGTGAGCATCCCTGTATGGATGTTTATGTGCAAGTTCACACTGGATTTCTTTCACTGTGCCTGGCACAGTAGTATGTGCCTGTGTCTTCAGTTTTCAGAGTGTTCAGTTTTAAGAAAACTTGGCTCTTGGAAGTGTCCCTGGTGATGCTCAGTCGGGATTTGAGAGCTGAATTATCTGCTGTGCTTCCATCACCCCATATTCCTCCAATCCACTCCAGTCCTTTTCCTGGAGGCTGGCAAACCCACTGTACACTATAGTCAGTTAACGAAAACCCAGAGACAGTGCAGGTGAGGGACAGGGTCTGTGAGGGCTGCACCAGGTCAGGTCCTGACTCCTTCAGCTCCACCTGGGACAGGACACCTGCAGACAAACAACATAATCATTAGCCATACATCCTATAAATTAAATACCTGACTCTCTATCCTCAAAATCTGAAACACTTACAGCTTGGAAAGGTGACCAGGCAGAGAAGCAGCACCAGGACAGCCATGCTCTGATGGAGGCTCTAGTGAGAAGAGGATGAGGCTTCTCAGCTAGGCCATGGCTTTCAGCCTGAGCCTGAGAGCTACTTTGCATTGGGGGAGGCTCCTGAGAGGATAAAAGGAGGCACTCAGCAAGTTTTCCTGTTTTTTTTTTTTTTCCTCCAAGTGACTGAAATTTGCATTGTGCTTTTTAGAGAAAATAGATATATATTGTCATGAACATGGTTCCTGGTTCACTCTGGTTTCTAAGTCTACATAAGCAGAAAATTGAATGATTCCCGTGATTCAGGCCTTGGATGCAAACATTGGGATATTTACAGTGAGTCCACATTCATACAGTGCAGGCAGAACAAGGTACCATACCCTTCATGAATTTGTATATCTCTGTAAATTCCAAGAGAGTTTAGGATGTAAATGGGCCTCTTATTATTGGGAATCCTCTTAAGGAATTACTTAATTTTTTCTTTCACTTGAGAATACTGAGTCTTATTCTTACCACTCATCTAGAAAATATAACTTAGGAGAAAACTCTTTAGAACATTTAGTATATGTGATTTCATGTGTTTATTTGCATATACTTTATATGTCTCTTTTAGTCTGTTTAGCTTGAAGCACATAAAACTCAGGTTCCTAAATATATTTCTGATTTGGTATAGGATTGAATATTCAGCTGTTTATAACAGGTCATAGTGGTCTATGAAAGCCTGCTTGAAGATTATGTTGATAAATTAATAAATAAACTAGAGACTCCTAAGTGATGACTAGATGTTGAGCAGAGGTCAGGAAAGAAAATGGGGACCCTGTGCCTTGAGGAGTGATGACCATAAAGAACCAGAGATTATAGTGCTTTTCCTCATTGGTTATATGCACTGCCAGAGAAGAGAACTGAAGAGCTGGAAACAAGATGTTCATTCAGTGACCAGAAAATATCTCTCTGCCTTGTTGGCATTGGACACCTCAAGTTTTGTGTCTCTTATTTCATTATGCATAATATTTATACTGTGAGTGGCAGTGGTAGAGACAGGTCTTCACATTGATGATGCAGCCATCCTGTGCAAATTCTACAAGGTTCACACCACTGTGAGAGCTCTACTCCTCCTGTTTGGATTAGAAGAATATTCTTCAGGCATATGCATATGCTCAGTATATCCCATTTGGGTTTATTTGATATTTTCATTGTCCTTATAAAATTTGGGAAATAAGAGTAAAGGAATAAATATCCATTTTTCATAGGATATTGGGGAACCTGATATTATACCCTTACTTAAGTAGTTTTATCTCTGCTTCCCTTAGAGATTATTTGTGCAGTATATAGTAATCTTATAGTACTTAAATTTTCCTTTCTCATGAAACTGTAGAAAGAAGTCACCAAGAGGCTTACTTTTTCCAAAGAGAAGGAGTTCATGGTGAAACCACATATTCTTTAAAATTGTCTTATATTTGAGAAGTCTTGATGCAGCAGTCTCACAGTCATTTTACTACCATCCCTATCTAATTTCTTCTAAACTGTCAGGATTCGAGGGTAACCTGTGATCTGTGACCACAGCTGTGTCAGCACTTGCTTTGATGTTTACGGTATATGTATTGTGTGAGAATGGTGGTCTGCATTAAGTTAATGTGTATTATTGGTTCATTGACCTTTTCTGAATTCCCTTATGGCTATAATATGATTCCCACATGGTCCCCTAATCATGGAATCCAACAAAGTCCCTGCAGGGAGTCCAGAGTTCTCCAGTCTTCAGGTTCCTTTGCTTCTGTATAAGATACTGTTCACCAAACTGAATCATTTCAACCCTATGTGATGCTATGGATTTTGTTAATTTCTGGGTAAATGCTACATTTAGAAATGAATGTATACTGGGGCTATAGAGATACCTGTGTGATTAACTTCTTAACAAACCAAAATGTTTGAGTGAGATCTTAGCTTAGAACTTCATGGACAGCAAGAATGCTAAGTGTTACTCCAACAATTAATCCCACATCTGGGAAATTGATAGAGCATGAGCACTGTAGTTCACTGACCAACTGTCTAACCAATGCAAATATTAATGAACAATCAGAGAACATGTCTGAAAAATATGGTACTGATTGACATAGAAAGGCCTTGTATGTCACCATGTATATATACTCCTCCATTATCAAACACCAAATGGTACATGCACACACACACACACACACACACAAACACACACACACACACACACACACACGGAGGGAAAACACAGTAAGAAATAAACAAACACATGTCACATGGAAATCAGAAATTTGAATAAATATGGGGACTCATTCCGGATAACTACACACTATATGTATAAAGAGAACCCTTGATTGTGATATGTAGAGACAGCCCAGACACAAAGGACAAAGATGGAACAAAGACTGAGGAAACAGGCAGCTACTGACTGGCCCAACTTGAGCACAATCCTGTGGTCAAAGACTAATCCCTGACACTAATAATAATACTCTGGTATGCTTGCAGACAGGAGCCTAGCATAACTGCTCCAAACCGCAGCTGATTAAAACATATGCAGAGATCCAGAGCCAAATATTAGACAGAGCTCAGTGTTCTTTTGGAAGATTTGGGGGAAAGATTGTGAAACCTGGAAGACCATCAGAGTCCATTAACCTGGATGCCTGGGAGCTTCCAGAGACTGAACCACCAACTAAACAGCATAGATGGGCTGGACCTAAGCCTCAGGCATATATGTAGCAGGTGTGCAGCTTGGTCCTCATTACAATTCCCCAACAACTGGAATAGGGACTGTCCCTAACTTTGCTGCCTGTCTGTGTATACTGTTCCCCAAACTGGGCTGCCTTGTTTGGCCTAAGTGGAAGATTATGTGCCTAGTCCTGCAGTGTCATGTTATGCTAAAGTGGGTTTTCACTCAGAGAAGAGGCTACCCATTCTCTGCAATAAATGAGAGGGCGATGGCAGGGCACTCTGTAAGATGGAGAGTGGAGAGAGAGAGAGCAGAAGGGATTGCTTGAGATGTAATGAGAATAAATAAATGAAAACAAAATGATTTAAGTCTCATTGTGTATGGTGGTGAATCTGAAGAAGAGGTGCAGTGTGATAGAGGAACTGATGTTAGGTTTTTGGAAGTAGAAGCAGTGAGGGACCTTGAGTAAGTATAGATTCCTTACTTGGAACTTCTAGCCATAGGAGGAAACTGGAGAGTCCCAGAAAAATGAGTTAAACTACAAGCATCTATGTCAAGTGATATAAGGCACAAAGATATGCTCACTTGTGGACATCACCAATCATGTCTTTGACCTCTGAACTGTGTTTCATCCTGTAGCCTGAAAACTTAGGCATGTGATGGAAATGAGTCATTTTGTGGGAGCAAAATGAGACTTATCACCCGGTTGGAACTTATCACTCCTTACTTTTGACAGTAAGTAGTGATGATTCAAATACAGTTTTTATAATCAAGTTGTGGAATGTATTTATTAAATGAATCAAGGCCTCACATATACTCCATAAGAACTCTTCTATTATGCTAACTTTCAGCACTGGGTGAATTATTTTTAATCAAATATATTATTTTAAGTAAGTGTATATGTTTCTGGTTGAGTACTGTAGTACTAATGGAGGGTCCTTGGTTCTCCATACTTATAGGTAGATATTAGCTATTCACTGTGGGTATCAGGAACTGATCCTGGTTTCCAAGCAAAAGCAATATATTCTCTGAATCTCTGAATCTAGCACTTCGATGAGTAATCCAAACCTTTCCTCTCATGTTGTCTACAGCTCTGTTTATGATTGCCTAAATTCACACCAAGGTGAATTAACATATAGGGTATCTCATGAAGGACAAGTAGAGACCCAGAGAACAAAAACATCTTACCAAATGGAACTTGATGAAAATCCTGGTCTTAAGGATAGTGAGTTGAGGGGTGGGTGATCCTGGATTGAGTAAAGAGTGAGAACACTAATCAGTTAGATGGGAAGGATTAATCCAAGTAATGAACTGTATGGAATTTGACTATAGTTAATAACACCATGTTATACTTTTCCTTTTATGCCCTTTTTATGGGATACCCTCAAAGCAAGGACTACATGGTCATTCAACCATGAACCTATGTTTGAAAACATTAGACTAATAGGATGAATACAAAAAGTTCAATCAGCACTTCAGCACAATAAAAAATAGGTGTATTACTAAAAATATAGTCAGGAGAGGAACAAACCCTTTGCCAAAATCTCTATGGATTTTCAAAATATTGTGCATCAACAATGTTCTTGATAAAAGCTAATTCAACAATATATATTTATATTAAAATTTGTGTATAGCACTATTTGATTATCATACTTAGATTTTCTAAAATTAAAAAAAATAGTTTCTTACATTACTAGATCTAATACCAGTATTTGCATAACTTCCATTGGAATCCTTGGTTTACTAATTTCCTGGGGTCTTTTATTCAGTCAGAATATTTTAAGGTTTTCAATATTTTTACTTTTCACCTTATAGATTTGCAAGGATATTCTTGTTTGAACTCAGAGTAATTTTGCATCACTGTATCTCTTGCATAGTAAGACATGTTTGTGTCCTTAGTCTTCAAGCTGATCATTAAGAGGTATACAGATTTTGGTATTGTGTCTGGAGTTGGTGAAACTGTCCTTCAGGGTGTTGTGGTAAATCTCTAAACCAAATAACCTAGGTCAAAGAAAACACAACTCAATAATTATCTATACAAGCTACAAGCCTAGACTGTGCAGACTTACCACTACACTACTTTTTTCACCATCTGTGAAATACCTTATAACTTGTGGTTTTTCTATGCTACATGCTTCTCCTCAATTGTTCTCTGTCTCTGTCTTCTCTCTCTCTCTCTCTCTCTCTCTCTCTCTCTCTCTCTCTGTGTGTGTGTGTGTGTGTCTCTCTGTCTCTATGTCTCTTTGTCTCTCTGCCTCTGTCTCTCTGTCTCTGTCTCTCTCCCCCAAGTCTACCTCCTATTCTAGTGCCCAATAACTGGCTCTAGACTTTATTTTACAAATTAAGGTGGTCAAAATGTTTA